AATGTATTTCCAGTGATTCAAGGAGAGCTGCGACTGATCAAAGGCCTCAATGGGATGTATTTCAGACACAATGTTCTTTTTGCATTGGTGCAGCTGCAGAGGTTGACAAACGAGTCTCCTTTATAACCAATTTAAGTTTATTGTTTTACCCCAATCCATGTGTAATGAGACAAAGCAAAAGAGAAGCAGGAACTATGCAGCTTCTCCATTAGACATCTGCGGCACCAAAGGTCAAAGCAAGACACCAGAGGTACGGATTGATGAAAAGGATAGAACATATATGGCCTAATTCTGTTTGACAGCAAGGTCTCTTTTTCCCACTCAGAAAGAGTCCTAAAGCGTAACATCAGAAATGCAGCATGGCTCTCAGACCAAGGTGCTGAGCACACACAGCTCCCACTGACTTCAAGTGGAGCCATGTTTGCACAGCACTTCTGAAAGCCATGCCCAAAAGGTCAGCGGTGAATCTGGATCTTGCTGTTCATTTCCAGGTTCTTCCTTCATCCACGGATGTTCCTGCTGGCTTTAGCATGGCCCACAGCTTCCACTGAGGTACCTATGGCAAGATACCCCAGAACCGCATATTCCCGCCCCGTAACCATAACCGCCCAGGTAACCGCCTAATCCCCCATAACCACATCTCCCATAACCCCAAGGGCCACCATAACCACCATAGCCCCCTAAACCATACCATCCTCCGTAATGGCCTCCATAGCCGTACAATCCCCCAGGACCGAAGGAGCCCCCGAAACCGGGTCCGACCACAGGTGCTCCTATGGCTCCCACTCCACTCTGTTGAGGGAAATTGCTGAGAATTGGTCCCGGGAGGGTCACGACCACCGGTGAGGGTCTGATCACCACTTCGGAGTCAGGGCACTGCCGAACGCACGGCACGTTGCAGCTGCCAGTGACTGGACTGGGCCGGGCCACCCCGCATTCTGGATAGCACAGGCCGGAGAAAGCCATCTTTCTGGGATGGAGGTAAACCTGTAACACACACACCAGGGACTAGAGTAAAGAGAAGGTACAAGTGCCAGTGGATGAAAGGCTTCAAATCTCAGTTACTATTGCAGCGAGGTCTTCCTGGGGCCCGAGAGAGAGAGAGAGAGGTAAGTTTCCTTAGTCCCTATGTTCATGGCCACCTATTTCTTCCTATATCCTCTTTCTACGCCTCTTGTCCACTCGCACTCAACTTCCCTCCCAACCGGCCCCTTTGAGCCCCTCTCAATGACGTTGTCTAAAAAAACACCAACTGGAATAAGGAGAACTATTTCTAGGCTGGACACCTAGGATTCTGTGTTCATTTGAGACATTTCTCAAAGAGAACATGGCTGGTTTCATGGTAACTGAATCCCTTCGTTTGAGGATTTCACCTCTGCATTGCAACTCAGTTGAGTTCGGTATCACAGTGTAGTGCTTTGCTGATGAAGAAACAGAGACTTGGCTTTTCTCCAAAGAAATCACAAAGGACAAGCTGGGGTACAATGGGTTTAGGTCCACTGACTTCCATGGAGTGACACTAAATAACACCATCCGAGAAGAAGCACCTGCAATGGGTATTACTGCTCAGAAGAACATAGGAATTGATAGATTGGATCACACCACTTATCAGCTTCATCCATTCTCCTGTCTCCAACAGTGAGGAATAACAGCAGCATCAGCGTAAAGGAGAAGACCACTCAATTGGCTCTTTCTGGATTAACCTGAACAAGTTTCTTCCTAATCCAACTAAGTGAAAAATGGTAAGGGACTTTCTAAAGTTACCGAGAAGATGTAAATGCCCCGATTCTATTTGCAGTTAACAGAAATTATGTTTCCCAAATGCATATGTTGCTCCTAAATTCCCCAAACAGCTTTGAATCATGAATCCTCTAGCACCTGCAAGTGAGTAACTGCACAACATAAAAGTGGAAGAAAATCCTGATCGCTGATCAAAAATCAAAGGGAGTAAGGGCAAGATTCAGTCCTAAATAGAAATGGACCCTACTGTGACATCTCTGTGGTTAGTAAGAGATTGGATTGAAATGGACTTACCTAATTCACTGAAGAGATGAAGTCCGGAGAAGTGTTTAGAAGAGCGCTGAGTCTTGTGTGCTTTTATACAGTCCCTGGGACTGCCTGGAGGATCTGCCACGTCATTTGTGGAGGAGGTCCGAATTAGTTACAAAACAAACTTGATTGCCTTGCTATGTCCTCCTTTGGATGGAGCTCTTTTCCTCAGGGGTTGTGATGATTGGGCTAATCGCAGCCTCAGTGGGTGTGACATGCACGTTGCACTCTTCATCTTTCTTTCATCTTAAAATTGTTATGGCCAACTGCGTTCCTCGTGTCATTCCACTGACTTCATGGGGGCTGCAATGAGAAGGAACTTCAAGCTGCTTCTGAGTGGCACCGTTAGCATGACAGGCTCTGATGAAAGGAATCTAGTCTGGTCCTTTCCATTCATGCTGGTCGTGGGTAGGGGCATGGGCAGTTGAGGTGTTGTAAGACAATTCAGCTGACTGAGACCAGCAACAAGACCAGGAGAGACGAAAATCATGTATTCTTGGAGAAGGAGGAGACAGCTGTGTGATGAGATTTGAGATAAAATCTGACCAACCACAGGGCATGTTGCAGAAAACATTCCTGCCAGAACCAGAATGTTGTTCAAAGTGTAAAATGTGTCCTCAAGAGTGGGTCCCATGTGCAGGGAGGAAGGCAGAAATATCTTCCTTTGATTTCAAGCAACCACTTGAAGTTCTTTGAAGTTGAATCAGCTGTGCTGATTTACACCAAGAGAGCACCTGCATTTTCCAATACAAATCTTTGTAAAAATACTGTGAGAAAGCTCTGTCCTTGCCTCTGTGGATCCCGCTTGCCCTGGTGGATTTCACTCACCTCAGAGGTTCACTCTGACCCTCCACATAACCTTTCTCTTTCTAGCGACAAGAGTCACAGTCTACTGAGCCATTTTCAACATAAGCCAGCGAGGGAGGTGAGGTGCAGCTATCCTCCCTTGCACAGCCTCTGTTGTCTCCCAGTCTGAGTCATTAATCAGGGGGGCAAAGGGGAGGAGCCTGGGCCCGCCCTCTGCTCCGGGCTCCAGCCCAGGGACCCTAATAGTATTAGCTATAGTAGCTGACCTTTTAGGAACATCACACGTACAATTCCTTGGCCTTCTTCCCCACAACAGCCCCCACTTCCTCAGGCTCCACCTCCCCCTTATGTCAGGACCTCCTTCCTTGTGCCTGATATCGTGTGTACTGCTCAGTATCTCCAACAGCACAGCTTCCTCCCACAGCTCCTGACATGTGCACCCACCTGAGTATCTGGGAGGCATTTAACTAGTTTCAGCCAGCCCCTGATTGGCTTCAGGTGTCCCAATCAACCTAGGTTCCTCTCTGCCTTCTGGAAAGCTCTTCATTGGCCCCAGGTGTCTTAATTGACCTGGAGCAGCTGCCATTTCACTGAGCCTAGTACCAGGGATTTGTTTAGACTGAAGCTAATATATCTATCTCCCACTACTTTTCTATAGCCAGCAGGCCTTGCCCCGTCACAATACCAAATGCAAAACTCTCTTTCAATAAAAATGAAACAGCCCCAAATTGGGTGGCTTTAAGTGATAATCTGATTCACAGAAGGATACTAGTGACTTTGACCTCCATTTTTTTTATCATGACTCTGTTAATCAATGCGGAGTTGTGTAATCCCCACAACAATTTATTAATATGCTGAGAATACTACCCTTTCCATGTGTGAAACACCAGTGCGTGTTCATGAGGGGCTTTGAAATCTTGAGTTTGAAGCACCCTGAAGAACTTCCAGCCTTAACACCCTGACTCTCTTTGTTTCATAGACCTAGAAACAGAGGCACATTGAGGTGAAGGTCACATGGGGCTCAGCGGCAGAAACAGAAATACACCCTAATACTTCTGATGCATCCTACCACAGGCTGAGCCCTAGGTTGATCACTGTTACACTGTGTTCCAAGACAAGCTTAGTAACATGTCGGGTTAAAAATGTTTGTATCCTTGGATCTAAGCACCAACAATTAAAGAAAATGGCTAATGTTCTGATCCACCTTCACTGTGTCTTCTTAAACATGAGGATAATACTTCTCCATAGGAATTACAAGTCTGTCAGTTTCAATTTTCTCCACGAGTGCGGTGGCCTTGGAAATCTCCATATGTAATTCAACCATCACAAACTTGCTTTAAGTCAAAGCACCTGTCAGGATGAAGTCACCACATGCCCCGTGTGTACTACTTTTTCTTTTCTTAGAAATACATCTCTGTAGTAGGTCAGAGTCACGCAATGGTAGTGAATTTTTTCTGGTTTGTGAAATGAGGTACAGCACAGGTTATGTCTGCCACATGGCCTTCTTTATACCTGAGGATAAGAATGGTGCAAAGGAATTGTAAGTGTGTACTTTTGAAAATTTTTTATGTGTACGGAAAGAAAAAAACCTCAATATAGAATTCAGAATGGGAAAAATTTTGTGACAAGACAATTTATGTCTGCTGAAGTGTAAATATCCACCACTGAGCCAACACCTTCAAATAAAAAGAGTTAAAGGGCACTGGAAGAGTTTTGATGGTTGATCATTGTTCACACGTAGATGAGAAGATCTTTCACCCAAAAGTTCCTCCTCAAATTATCAAAACAAAATAGAAAAATATCCAGAATGAGCCTCTGTAAGAGTTACTCCCAGGTCAGGGAGGTATCTGGAAGCCATGAACTGTAACTATCCAGACAGGTTCAGGAAATAGAGGGTAGTATTGGCATGAGTCGTCCCAACCATCGGGGTTTATTTCTGACTCTGCCAATCATTCCTGTCTCACCTCCAACTGAATGTGTCTCCGTTGACCTGCGGGGTAAACAGGTATAATTATAACCCTCAGGGTGGATTGTCTGAGGCTTCCTCTGATCTAAGCATTTCAAAGCACGTCACAAACGCACATCAAGTGTTATAGGGCCAAAGAACTGTATTCATTATAGCAATCATAACTTATTATTAGCCTTAGATGTTCCAAGCTTGAGGATTAGATTGACTTTAAAAATGCGTGTCAAGTTCCCAGATGTCATTCCGGTGTTCAGCTCCTGATTTCTTTAGCCACCGAAATTGGGGCTCTTTGATTTTCGTTTCTGTTCCTTTGCATTTCCCTTTTAGATATATTGTAAAGTTGAAGGGTAGATGCTGAGCCAGTGAAATCAATGGGAAACATAAGCTACTCCATCTCTATCCATGAGTTGCCAAGAGCACTGGGACTTCTGAGATACTTCAGCGAATAAAGATGAGGAAGAAGCACAAGGAAGACAGAGATAAGGAGAACTTCTTCAAAGGTCACACTGCTGTGGGATTAGACGTGATTAATTGAAAGACTGACCAACCTACAGAATTGTGCAAGACTCTTCTCTGACAGAAAGCTTTTCAGCCATTATTAGAATGAGTTTTGAAGTGGAAAGTACGCCTCCAATAGGATTGGTTCTAACTCGAGCAGCATAAAATGGCTTAGCTCAGTTTTAAGGCACAGAAGTCAATGACGTCTATGGAGCTTGTGACGGGGCAAGGCCAGATGGCTATAGAAAAGTAGTGCGAGATAGATATATTAGCTTCAGTCTAAACAGATCCCTGCTACCAGGATAAGTGAAATGGAAGCTGTTCCAGGTCAGTTAAGACACCTGGGGCCAATTAAGAACTTTCCAGAAGGCAGGGAGAATGCTAGGTTGATTGGGATACCTGAAGCCAATCAGGGGCTGGCTGAAACTAATTAAAAGCCTCCCAGTCAGTCAGGTGGGTGTGCATGTCAGGA